CAAACACACGCAGACCTCTGTTGAGATCAATACACACATACTCACACACACCAACACACACACAATACAAACACTGGACCCCCAGCAAACTTGTCTCACGTGGTACAAACATGTGTGATGTTTGGTTGTTTAGTTCTTAGTTCTTGTATACAAACGATTTAAATAGTCCAGTCATGGTCAATCCGTCAAAAGTAGCGTATCAGTAGCACACACACATTTCTGTAACATTTCATCAGCCGAATTTCTGACACATTTTATCAGGAAAATTTATGTACAATTTGATCAGACCAATTTCTGTAAAATTTAATAAACCAAAGTTATGTAACATTTCATAAAAAAAATTCCTGTAAAATTTCATCACCCGAATATATGCAAACTTTAATCAATAAAATCTTTATAAAATTTCATCAATTAAATATGTGCTACATTTCATGCTTCAAATTTCTGTACGATATATATATAACAATATCAAGACATAGCAATTATAATATATTTATATACACTACTATTCCCAACAATTTTGTCATAATTATCCCCAACAATCCTGTCATAATTGTTCACAACAATCCTGTCATAAGTGTTCACAACAATCCTGTCATTATTGTTTTTATATGCAGTGACTGTGTAGTTATATGTAGTGACTGTGTTGTTGTATGTAGTGACTGTGTTGTTGTATGTAGTGACTGTGTTGTTGTATGTAATGACTGTGTTGTTGTATGTAGTGACTGTGTTGTTATATGTAGTGACTGTGTTGTTGTATGCAGTGACTGTGTTGTTGTATGTAGTGACTGTGTTGTTGTATGCAATGACTGTGTTGTTGTATGTAGTGACTGTGTTGTTGTATGTAATGACTGTGTTGTTGTATGTAGTGAATGTGTTGTTGTATGTAGTGACTGTGTTGTTATATGTAGTGACTGTGTTTTGTATGTAGTGACTGTGTTGTTGTATGAAGTGACTGTGTTGTTGTATGTAGTGACTGTGTTGTCATATGTAGTGACTGTGTTGTTGTATGTAGTGACTGTGTTGTTGTATGTAGTGACTGTGTTGTTGTATGTAGTGACTGTGTTGTTGTATGTAATGACTGTGTTGTTGTATGTAATGACTGTGTTGTTGTATGTAATGACTGTGTTGTTATATGCAGTAACTGTGTTGTTGTATGTAGTAACTGTGTTGTTGTATGTAGTGACTATGTTGTTATATGTAATGACTGTGTTGTTGTATGTAGTGACTGTGATGTGTGCAACCTTCACCCTTGTTACATTGAAGAACTCTATGTCTAAAAGCTTGACGTAGGTACTTGGATATGGGATAATTGACACGACACTGTCTATCCAAATATCCCTCTTGGTCGGTCTGCCACTGCTTGGTCCTTCTAGATGAAATCTGGTCGCGTGTCATGAGTCATTCTTCTATATGGACCAGGTCTGGTCATCTTTCCCCTGAGGTCAAAATGGCGTCTCGTGTGTACTATCAAATCTGTTCATTTGGAACTGCTGACAGTGTAACATCTAGACTGTTGATACACTTCCAATAATTATCACTGCTGACAGTGTTGTCGATACACCTACTGTAATTGTCACTGTTGACAGTGTTGTCGATAACCTACTGTACTTGTCACTGCTGACAGTGTCGTCGATACACCTACTGTACTTGTCACTGTTGACAGTGTTGTCGATACACCTACTGTACTTGTCACTGCTGACAGTGTTGTCGATACACCTACTGTACTTGTCACTGCTGACAGTGTTGTCGAAACACCTACTGTACTTGTCACTGCTGACAGTGTTGTCGATACACCTACTGTACTTGTCACTGTTGACAGTGTTGTCGATACACCTACTGTAATTTTCACTGCTGACAGTGTTGTCGATACACCTACTGTACTTGTCACTGTTGACAGTGTTGTCGATACACCTACTGTAATTGTCACTGCTGACAGTGTTGTCGATACACCTACTGTACTTGACACTGCTGACAGTGTTGTCGATACACCTACTGTAATTGTCATTGCTGACAGTGTTGTCGATAATCTACTGTAATTGTCACTGTTGACAGTGTTGTCCATAACCTACTGTAATTGTCACTGCTGACAGTGTTGTCGATAACCTACTGTAATTGTCACTGTTGACAGTGTTGTCGATAACCTACTGTAATTGTCACTGTTGACAGTGTTGTCCATAACCTACTGTAATTGTCACTGCTGACAGTCTAAAATCCAGACTGTTGATAAACTTCCAATAAGTGTAACGCCGTTGTCATGGGAACAGTTAAAGGTCTTCAAAAAACCATGCACAGTTACCTCGCGAACCCTCTCTACAAACACAGGAGCCAGAATGATCAATACGTTGATCGCGGGCCCTCAAAATAGAGAAGAGGGTGTCAACAATGATGTTTTTATCAGTTGAATGTCAACAATGATGTTATTCTAAGTTAAATGACATCACCCCCCCCCCCAAGCAACGTAAACTAACAAGAAAAGTTCTAAAATCCTAGCAGAAAAGTCATTATGCTATTTATACAAAATATTTTGTCGACTCAAATAAATTCCTTTTGAATTTTTTTACAAAATCAAAATTGCGATCTGAAGCATATCAAAATCCACTTAGCCCTGTGACTCGTCAATGTCATAGTCAATGTTTCCAAGCACTAATTGTGGTCAATGTTGTGGTCTAATTTACATTCACTTAGGCAGGACAATGATTTAGTCTATGTTTCCATGCAATACATCTGGTCAGTGTTGTGGTCTATTTTTCCTTGCAATACATCAGATCAAAGATTCGGTCTATGTTTCCATGCAATATTCAGGTCAATGTTTTGGTCTTTGTGTCCATGCAATATTCAGGTCAATGTTTTGGTCTTTGTGTCCATGCAATATTCAGGTCAATGAAGTAGTCTATGTTTCCATGCACTATTCAGGTCAATGAAGTGGTCTATGTTTCCATGCAATATTCAGGTCAATGAAGTGGTCTATGTTTGCATGCAATATTCAGGTCAATGTTTTGGTCTATGTTTCCATGCAATAAGTCAGATCAATGTTGTGGTCTTTGTGTCCATGCAATATTCAGGTCAATGAAGTGGTCTATGTTTCCATGCACTATTCAGGTCAATAAAGTGGTCTATGTTTCCATGCACTATTCAGGTCAATGAAGTGTTCTATGTTTCCATGCAATATTCAGGTCAATGAAGTGGTCTATGTTTCCATGCAATATTCAGGTCAATGTTGTGGTCCATGTTTCCATGCAATATTCAGGTCAATGCTGTGGTCTATGTGTCCATGCAATATTCAGGTCAATGAAGTGGTCTATGTTTCCATGCAATATTCAGGTCAATGAAGTGGTCTATGTTTCCATGCAATATTCAGGTCAATGTTGTGGTCTATGTTTCCGTGTACTAAGACATCTCAAAGAATGTTCAACTACTGAAGGACCACGTGCCGATGACGTCACTATGTTTATCTTTCTCGCCACAGTCATGTAGTCAGCTCCTCTGAAATAGCGATGGCATCATGAGCTTATCATGTTTCTATCATGAACTTATCCTGTTTCCTATCATGAACTTATCATGTTTCTATCATGAACTTATCCTGTTTTCTATCATGAACTTATCATGTTTCTATCATGAACGTATCCTGTTTTCTATTATGAACTTATCATGTTTCTATCATGAGCTCATCATGTTTTCTATCATGAAGTTATCATGTTTTCTATCATGAACTTATCATGTTTTCTATCATGAAGTTATCATGTTTTCTATCATGAAGTTATCATGTTTTCTATCATGAAGTTGGCATGTTTTCTTCAAGGGCCCACGATCAATTTATTGATCATATTGATCATTTTCTATCATGAACTTATCATGTTTTCTATCATGAACTTATCATGTTTCTATCACTTTCGCATTTGCTGGTCCAACAATTTGGAATGCCCTTCCTGTCGATCTCAGAAACAACCAGACACTGGAGTCCTTTAAAACCGATTTAAGACACATCTATTTCGCAAACACCTTCTGGGATGATTGTCTACCATATTTTCCAGTTAATGCATAATGGCTGTGTTGCTCAGGGTTGAAATGGGTAGAAAGACTTTGACATTGTATGCTTGTAATTAGTTTTTGTAGTGTTGCGTTTGTTTTAAATGTGGTAAATTATAGATTTGTTTGTTGTTGACTTCGAGCCTTTGGGGATGAAGCGTGTTTTTGAAATGAACTTTATTTTTTATTATTATTATCATGAGCTTATCATGTTTTCTATCATGAAGTTATCATGTTTTCTATCATGAAGTTTTCTTCTATATCTTAAGGGCCCACGATCAATTTATTGATCATATTGATCATTTTCTATCATGTTATCATGTTTTCTATCATTGACTTATTCCGTTTTACATCACCAACTTATAATTTTTTCTATGATGAGCTTATCATATTTTGTATCATGAACGTATCATGTTTTCTATCATGAACTAATCCTGTTTCATAGCTCAGTTATTTATGTTTATAATTTAATATTATTAGCAAACAAACACTCAAAATGAAATCAAGGGATGTTATCAAGTAAAATAAAACTAATATTAAGAATGTATTGGTTATGTCCCTCTACCCACAACGCCCTTAACACTAACGTGATCTATTTGAAGTCGTTAGTATCACGTGACAAACACCTAAACGAATACAAGGGTCAGCAAGAAAAACTTATTTAACTCTTTTTTTAATGCATTATTGGTTCACATTTTAATTATTCAATTGTAGAGGGCGCTGTTCTCTGAGCCTAGGGAAAGTGGGTTTTTTTTTGTTTTTTTTTAAATTTTAGAGCAGATCTAGAATAAATTTTTAAGTTTGATGTATTGCAGTGAATACTAACAGGTTACACCATCTTATCTCTGATTTTATTCGACTAAAGAAAATATTGTTACACACGTATTGCAAAGCTTATTTGTGTATGACTTGTTTTTTTTCAAAGGATTATTTTAATTAGACTTTTATTTCAAAGGATTATTATAGTTTGACTTGTTTTTCAAAGGATTATTTTCTGGACTCACTTCCCCACAACATCGGCAGTAACAACAACCTCTACTATGACAACAGCCACTACAACCGCTACAACAACTACTGCAATTATCGGTGGATCGAATTTATCAGACTTTCTTTACCACAAACTTATGTTAGTTTTGAACACAGTAGAGGATAGAGGTAAACAAAAAATCTTAAGGATAACTACAACTACCACTGCAACTACGACTACAACTACGACAACGACTACGACTGCAACTACGACTACGGAGGAATACTAATATTATGTTTTGCACGCCAAAGACACTTGTTCGAAAGGTTAACGTGACCTTCTGCAATGTAGCAACCTCGCCCCCCCCCCCCCCCCCCCCCCCCCCCCCCCGCCCACAAACTACGACTACGGAGGAATACTAAAATTATGTTTTGCACGCCAAAGACACTTGTTCGAAAGGTTAACGTGACCTTCTGCAATGTAGCCACCTCGCCCCCCCCCCCCGCGCCCCCCATCCCACCCGACACATAGGTCTTTACAAGCCCCTGAAACTCTGAGGTTTCTTTAAACAAGCAAGCCGTATTTATCTTCTCCTGATTCATGTTTACTCTAGGCTGTTGGGACTGGTTCAGTGGACCTCCGAGACCCGCAGGTCCCATAGGCGTTACGGCCGGCTGAGTTCTTTGAATGGAAGGAGCACACAGGCAACATAGGTGCAATCATAGAGGGAATGATGCACACACCTGCTGACATTGGCAACACGCGTGTGACAGTGTGCTTGGTGTCTGTGTATGAGCATGGCATTTCTCAACATGTCTCTAGGAATTTGGTTCCATTTGGGGATATGTTCAAGGTTTGTAGTCTGATTGGTGAACTTAATGAACAGAGTTTGTAGAAAGTCAAGAAGTGGCCGTGGTATTGAGATGAACATTTAAAGAATACGATTTTGTTTAAATAATTGTACAAAAAATTAAGTTACTTTGAAAATTAACATTAAGCTTATTGGACTATTGACATTATTGTAACTTTGACTATTGACATTAAGGTGACTTTGAATATTGACATTAAGGTGACTTTGACTATTGACATTATTGTAACTTTTACTCTTGACATTATTGCAACTTTGACTATTGACATTAAGGTAACTTTGAAAATTGACATTATTGTAACTTTGACTATTGACATTATTGTAACTTTGACTATTGACATTAAGGTGACTTTGACTATTGACATTAAGGTGACTTTGACTATTGACATTAAGGTGACTTTGACTATTGACATTATTGTAAATTTGACTATTGACATTAAGGTGACTTTGACTATGGACATTAAGGTGACTTTGACTATTGTCATTAAGGTGACTTTGACTATTGACATTAAGGTAACTTTGACTATTGACATTATTGTAACTTTGACTATTGACATTAAGGTGAATTTGACTATTGACATTATTGTAACTTTGACTATTGACATTAAGGTGACTTTGACTATTGACATTATTGTAACTTTGACTATTGACATTATTGTAACTTTGACTATTGACATTAAGGTGACTTTGACTATTGACATTATGGTAACTTTGACTATTGACATTATTGTAACTTTGACTATTGACATTAAGGTGACTTTGACTATTGACATTAAGGTGACTTTGACTATTGACATTATTGTAAATTTGACTATTTACATTAATGTGACTTTGACTATTGGCATTAAGGTGACTTTGACTATTGACATTAAGGTGACTTTAAATATTGACATTATTGTAACTTTGACTATTGACATTATTGTAACTTTGACTATTAGCATTAAGGTGACTTTGACAATTGAAATTATTGTAACTTTGACTATTGACATTAAGGTGACTTTGACTATTGACATTATTGTAACTTTGACTATTGACATTATTGTAACTTTGACTATTGACATTATTGTAACTTTGACTATTGAGATTAAGGTGACTTTGACTATTGACATTAAGGTGACTTTGACTATTGACATTATTGTAACTTTGACTATTGACATTAAGGTGACTTTGACTATTTATTGTAACTTTGACTATTGCCATTAAGGTGACTTTGACTATTGACATTATTGTAAATTTGACTATTGACATTAATGTGACTTTGACTATTGACATTAAGGTGACTTTGACTATTGACATTATTGTAACTTTGACTATTGACATTATTGTAACTTTGACTATTGACATTAAGGTGACTTTGACTATTGACATTATGGTAACTTTGACTATTGACATTATTGTAACTTTGACTATTGACATTATTGTAACTTTGACTATTGACATTAAGGTGACTTTGACTATTGACATTAAGGTTAATTTTGACTATTGACATTAAGGTGACTTTGACTATTGACATTATTGTAAATTTGACTATTGACATTAAGGTGACTTTGACTATGGACATTAAGGTGACTTTAACTATTGACATTATTGTAACTTTGACTATTGGCATTAAGGTGACTTTGACTATTGACATTATTGTAATTTTGACTATTGACATTAAGGTGACTTTGAAAATTGACATTATTGTAACTTTGACTATTGACATTATTGTAACTTTGACTATTGACATTATTGTAACTTTGACTATTGACATTAAGGTGACTTTGACTATTGACATTAAGGTGACTTTGACTATTGACTATTTATTGTAACTTTGACTATTGACATTAAGGTGACTTTGACTATTTATTGTAACTTTGACTATTGCCATTAAGGTGACTTTGACTATTGACATTATTGTAAATTTGACTATTGACATTAATGTGACTTTGACTATTGACATTAAGGTGACTTTGACTATTGACATTAAGGTGACTTTGACTATTGACATTAAGGTGACTTTGACTATTGGCATTAGTGTAACTTTGACTATTGACATTAAGGTGATTTTGACTATTGACATTATTGTAACTTCGACTATTGACATTAAGGTGACTTTGACTATTGACATTAAGATAACTTTGACTATTGACATTATTGTAACTTTGACTATTGACATTATTGTAACTTTGACTATTGACATTAAGGTGACTTTGACTATTGACATTATTGTAACTTTGACTATTGACATTAAGGTGACTTTGACTATTGACATTATTGTAACTTTAACTATTGACATTAAGGTGACTTTGACTATTGACAGTTAGGTCAAATTGACTTGAGTCACATATGAGTAACGTTGAGGTGAGTCACGTGGTAATAACGTAAAAGTAAGTCACGTAGTAGTAACGTACAGGTGAGTCACGTGGGGTTGACGTAGTTTTAGATCACGCAAAGATACGTTCAGTTGTAAAAAATGGAAAATTTCATCAGTTGACAGCTATTTAGAGTCTCAGAAATCTCTGTCTAGACTGAAGATAATGGGCACTGTACACAGTTCATTGGAAGTTTGTTAACAATCCACTTTTGGCTGCTCGTCACGTGAGTCCTGCAAACTTTATTCTTGTTCTTGAAGCATAAAAAAAAAACACCACATTTTAATCTGAACGTGGATTCATCAACCAAGGTGGACCTTAAATTGTGGCCTTATCACGGACCACAGATGATTAAGATGGGTTTTAGATGGACCATTGATGATTTAGATGGACTTTCTATTCCTGAAAAATCTGACTCGTATAAATTTATCTTAATATAGCGAAGCGCAAGCACATGCACCTTAACAAGGCTATAATACTAACCTCTCTTTACCAATGTGTCAAGTCTATAACACTAACCTCTCTTTACCAATGTGTCAAGTCTATAACACTGACCTTTCTTGACAAATGTGTTAAGTCTATAACACCGACCTCTCTTGACAAATGTATCAAGTCTATAACACTGACCTCTCTTTACAAATGTGTCAAGTCTATAAAACTGACCTCTCTTTATAAATGTGTCAAGTCTATAACACTGACCTCTCTTTACAAATGTGTCAAGTCTATATCACTGACCTCTCTTTATAAATGTGTCATGTCTATAACAATGACCTCTCTTGACAAATGTGTCAAGTCTATAACACTGACCTCTCTTGACAAATGTGTCAAGTCTATAACACTGACCTCTCTTTACAAATTTGTCAAGTCTATATCACTGACCTCTCTTTATAAATGTGTCAAGTCTAAAACACTGACCTCTCTTTATAAATGTGTCAAGTCTATAACACTTACCTCTCTTTACAAATGTGTCAAGTCTATAACACTAACCTCTCTTTACAAATGTGTCAAGTCTAAAACACTGAACTCTCTTTACAAATGTGTCAAGTCTATAACACTGACCTCTCTTTATAAATGTGTCAAGTCTGTAACACTGACCACTCTTTACAAATGTGTCAAGTGTATAACACTGACCTCTTTTTACAAATGTATCAAGTCTATAACACTGACCTCTCTTTATAAATGTGTCAAGTCTATAACACTAAACTCTCTTGACAAATGTGTCAAGTCTATAACACTGACCTCTCTTGACAAATGTGTCAAGTCTATAACACTGAACTCGCTTTACAAATGTGTCAAGTCTATAACACTGACCTATCTTTACAAATGTGTCAAGTCTATAACACTGACCTCTCTTTAAAAATGTATCAAGTCTATAACACTGACCTCTCTTTACAAATGTGTCAAGTCTGTAACACTGACCTGTCTTTATAAATGTGTCAAGTCTATAACACTGACCTCTCTTGACAAATGTGTCAAGTCTATAACACTGACCTCTCTTTACAAATGTGTCAAGTCTATAACACTGACCTCTCTTGACAAATGTGTCAAGTCTATAACACTGACCTCTCTTTACAAATGTGTCAAGACTATAACACTGACCTCTCTTTACAAATGTGTCAAGTCTATAACACTGACCTCTCTTTACAAATGTGTCAAGTCTATAACACTAACCTCCTATTACCAATGTGTCAAGTCTGTAACACTGACCTCCATCACAGGTGTTTAAAGTCCCAGGTATTCCAGGATTGATGAATGTGTGACGCCATCACCAATGGAAGATTCCATCGCTCTTCGGTTACTGGACTCTGACTCTGAGTCAGATATGGAGGATACTTACAGACCGGAAGCCAGACTTAGAAATGGCAAAAGAAAGATTATGAACAACAATCGTCTTGAGACAGTAGGTAGCAACAAGAACAGCCTTAAAACAGTAGGTAACAACAGCAACAACCTTTACACAGAAGGTAACAACACCAACCTTGAGACAGTAGGCTACAACACCAACCTTGACGACCTAGGTAACAACACCAACCTTGACACAGTAGGTAACAACACCAACTTTGACACAGTAGATAACAACACCAATTTTGACACCGTAGGTAACAACACTACCTTGACACAGTAGGTAACAACACTACCTTGACACAGTCGGTAACAACAGGAGAGTCTGACAAATTAAGTCCAGCGTTAAGACCTTCACTTGACAAAAGTATATTTATATATATATATATATGCATTAAAGTAATATAAATATTTATTTCATTTATAAATAATCAATATATTAATTATTTAAAATGTTTAAATATATCCTCATCCTCATCCGCATCCTCATATCCCTTAGTCCTTGGATCGTTGGGGCGCCACAAATGACATGTGAACCATCCTCCTCCATTCCTCTCTGTCTTCAGCACTACGCCCTGCATCGCCCAGTGTTAGTCCTGTCCACTCTTTGATGTTATCCTCCCACCTTTTTCTTTGTCTTCCTCTTCTTCTTCTCCCTCCTTTTGTGGTGCCCTGCAATATTTCTTTGGCAAGCCCTTGTTTCCTTGTTACGTGGCCGTACCATTGTAATTTTTCCCAATCACCAGTAGGTCATCGTACTCCCCAATTGCCTGACAAACCCTTTCTTTCACTGTATCATTGGAGATATGGTCCCTATAGCAGATGCCCAAAATGCTTTGAATCATCTCATCTCCATCGCCTTTATTTTCCTTTCAAGATCGGCTGTTTTGTCCAGGATTCGCAGGCATACAGGAAAATTCAGAGGACTAATGAGCGCATCAGCCTGATTTTGGTGCTGTGGGCTATATTTTTGTCATTCCAAATTTTCTTGAGCTTTTTTAGTGCTGTTGTAGTCTACGCAATCCTGGACATCAGTTCGGGCTTGGAGCCTTCTTCTGAGACTATTGCTCCTAGGTATTTGAAGTGGCCAACGGTCTCTAATCTTTCCTCCCCGACCTTAATTTCAGTGGTGATGCCTGCGGTATTATTTGTCATCAGTTTTGTCTTTTCGGCACTGATTAGCATGCCGTAGGACGAGGAGGTCTTATCGAGACACTTTACATGTTGGCTAGCTCTTCTTCGTTCCCAGCCAGTCCATCTATGTCGTCCGCAAAGCGTAGGTTGGTGATTGTTCTGCCACCAATGCTGACTGTCCCTTCAGGCGCTTTACATTTTTAATATATAATAGAAATTACCAAAATCTCTGCGGGCCAAACAGTGGGTGATAGGGGGTGGGGGCAGGGGCTGCGAATCGTTTCCGGTGACTTTATCTCTAGCTACGCCACTGTCTTAGATGAATGATGTAGAGTGAGACATGTCTTGGTGTCAAAGAATTTAAACAAATTAATAAATATAATGAATGTGGTGGGAATACTTAGGTCATTGTTATAAAGGAATGAATGGGGATGTAAGGGAATGTATAGAGGGAAGGTAATGGAATGTATAGAGGGAAGGTAAGGGAATGTATAGAGGGAAGGTAAGGGAATGTATAGATGGAAGGTAAGTGAATGTATAGAGGGAAGATAAGGGAATGTATAGAAGGAAGTATAGTGAATGTATAGAGGGAAGGTAAGGGAATGTAAAGAGGGATGTAAAGGAATGTATATGAGTAAGGTAAGGGAATTTATAGAGGGGAGGTAAGGGAATGTGTATAGGGAAGGTAAGGGAATGTACAGAGGGAAGTTAAGGGAATATATGGAGGGAAGGTAAGGAATGTATAGAGGGATGGCAAGGGAATGTATAGAGGGAAAGTAAGGGAATTTATAGGGGAAAGGTAACAAAATGTATAGAGGGAAGGTAAGGGAATGTGTATAGGGAAGGTAAGGGAATGTACAGAGGGAAGTTAAGGGAATATATAGATGGAAGGTAAGGAATGTATAGAGGGATGGCAAGGGAATGTATAGAGGAAAAGTAAGGGAATGTATAGGTGAAAGGTAACAAAATTTATAGAGGGAAGGTAAGGGAATGTATAGAGGGAAGGTAAGGGAATGTGTAGAGGGAAGGTAAGAGAGTGTATATAAGGAAGGTAAAGGAATATATAGACGGAAGATAAGGAAATGTATAGAGGGAAGGTAAAGGAATGTATAGAGGGAAGGTAAGGGAATGTGTAGAGGGAAGGTAAGAGAGTGTATATAAGGAAGGTAAAGGAATATATAGACGGAAGATAAGGAAATGTATAGAGGGAAGGTAAAGGAATGTATAGAGGGAAGGTAAGGGAATGTATAGAGGGAAGGTAAGGGAATGTATAGATGGAAGATAAAAGAACGTATAGAGAAAAGGTAATGGAATGTCTAGAGGGATGGTAAGGGAATGTATAGACGGAAGGTAAGGAAATGTATAGAGGGAAGAAAGGAAATGTATAGAGGGAAGGGTGGGGTATGTATAGAGAGATGGTAACGAAATTTATAGAGGGAAGGTAGGGAATGTATATTGGGATGGCAAGGGAATGTAAAGAGGGGAGGTAAGGGCATTATAGAGGGATGGTAAGGGAAAGTATAGAGGTGAGGTAAGTGATTGTATAAAGGGAAGTTAAAGGAATGTATAGAGAGAAGATAAGGGAGTGTATAGAGGGAAGGTAAGGGAGTGTATATAAGAAAGGTAATGGAATGTATAGAGGGAAGGCAAGGAGTGTATAGAGGGATGGTGAGGGAATGTATAGAGGGACAGTAAGGGAATGTGTAGAGGTAAGGTAAGGAGTGTATAGAGGGAGTATAAGGGAATATATAGAGAGAAGGTAGGGAATTAAAAGAGGGAAGGTAAGAGAGTATACAGAGGAGACGTAAAGGAGTGTATAGAGGGAAGGCAAGGAGTGTATAGAGGGAAGGCAAGGAGTGTATAGAGGGAAGGCAAGGAGTGTATAGAGGGAAGGCAAGGAGTGTATAGAGGGAAGGCAAGGAGTGTATAGAGGGAAGGGGAAAAGCCATCACGTCAGTGTCCCATTTAGTCTCACAGATCTCAATTAGACAAGCTATCACAATAGTGTCACATGTTGATTCACATCTCTCAATTAGACAAGCTATCACAATAGTGTCACATATTGATTCACATGTCTCAATTAGACAAGCTATTACATTAGTGTCACATAACTATATTATAGTTTCACATGTCTCAATATGGCAAGCTTTCACATTTGTGTCACACTTATGTCACACAGCTAAAAAAGTAAAAGCTGTCAAATTTGTCAATTTTCATAATCACATTTTAAATTAATCTTTTTTTTTTTTTCAGAGCAGCCATTTGCTTGTCCGGAGCAGGACTCTGAGAGGTCGTTTTTTGTTCTGTGCTCTCTTGACGTCAATCAGCTTCAATGTTTTATTTCTCATTATTATCTTCATACCAAAAGATAACGTGGATCAAGGTGACCAAAACAGTTCTTTCAGCAATGCTTTACAATTGAATTCTTCTCAACTGTACCATGATAACAGGGTAGATTCCCTACAACTTGAGGACACGACGAATTCTTTCATGACGATGTCACCGCTGAATAGTGATACACTAACTGCAGGACCTCCTGTGCAACTGTCCAGCTGTCCAGCGACTGTGGCGAATTGCCAGGATGATTCAAAGCAGGCAGACACCACACAGACATACGACAATGTCTTTGAAGACCTCTCATCGACAGAGATAGAGACAGTCTACAGATATTTGGCAGGGAAAATTAATATAAAGGCAAGTTGTTACAGTATATGTAGGCCTGTCTGTATGTAGGTAGTTTTGTATGTGAATTGTAGACAGGTTGGTAGTGATATGTAAGCAATTTGTATGTGATATGAAGACAAGTTTTTAGATGATAATTTCCCAGGATATGGAATAGACGATTATGTCTTAGGATATGGATAGGGTGATAACTTTATTTTTACATCATACGCACTCCTATTTCCTTAAGGTCAAAAACACGAGTGACCCAGACGCCAACAGTATCTATAGAATTGAGCTGCAAGTTCCCATCAAGGGGGAGGTCATTGGCTACCTGGACGGTAGGGGCGGAAAACCCCTCAGAGAGGCCCGGGTCATAGTAGAACGTCCAGGTTTACCAACACCTGTGGTCAGTGAGTATGTGGTGGGGCCACTCCCGAACCCAACCTATTATCGACCCAATCCACGACGTGAGAGAAACAGTGTATCTTACAGGTAGGTAAATTATAAGTACCTGACAAGTCAATTATGTGTACCTGACAAGTCAATTATGTGTACCTGACAAGTCAATTATGTGTACCTGACAAGTCAATTATGTGTACCTGACAAGTCAATTATGTGTACCTGACAAGTCAATTATGTGTACCTGACAAGTCAATTATGTGTACCTGACAAGTCAATTATGTGTACCTGACAAGTCAATTATGTGTACCTGACAAGTCAATTATGTGTACCTGACAAGTCAATTATGTGTACCTTACAGGTAAATTTTGTGCACCTTAAAGGTAAATTGTGTGTACTTTACAGGTAATTAATGTGTACTTACAGGTACTAAATTTGTACATACACGTAAATTATGTGTGCATACTTGTAAATTATGTGTACTTTACAAGTAAATTAAATTATTTCTCTCTAATACTCTCTAACCTAGTTTTCATCAAACTGTTTTTCTCTGATACGCTCTAACCCATTTTTCAACAAAATATTTCTCTCTGATACTCTCTAACCTAGTTTTCATCAAACTATTTCTCTTTGATACTCTCTAAGCCAGTTTTCATCAAACTATTTCTCTTTTATTCTCTCAAATCTAGTTTTCATCAAAGTATTTCTCTCTGATATTTTCTAACCTTGGTTTTCATCCAACTATTTCTCTCTGATACTCTCTAGCCTTGGTTTTCATCCAACTATTTCTCTCTGATACTCTCTAGCCTTGGTTTTCACCCAACTATTTCTCTCTGATACTCTCTAGCCTTGGTTTACATCCAACTATTTCTCTCTGATACTCTCTAGCCTTGGTTTTCATCCAACTATTTCTCTCCAACTATTTCTCTCTGAGACTCTCTAGCCTTGGTTTTCATCCAACTATTTAACTCCGACAATCTCTCACCCAGGTATCATCCCACGTATGGTATCCACGAATCATTCGCGGCGCTCATTAACGAGATGCGGAACAAAGATTTGCGCACAATCATCACCGAGAGTTATGGCGCTTTTTTTTTCGACTGTGAAGAGGCGTGTCTCATGATGCTGCCACAGAAGACAAGCTCCGCCTACTCGGATCAGACTTTGGTTATCTTGTCAGTCATGTACAAAACTGACTTCGTCACCATCAACCCAGTGGACATGATGTTTGTCATGAAAGAAACAGATACAGGTAATAGCTGAAGGTAATTGTTGAAAGAAACAGATACAGGTAATAGCTGAAGGTAATTGGTGAAAGAAACAGATACAGGTAATAGCTGAAAGTAGTTGGTAAAAGAAACAGATACAGGTAATAGCTGAAAGTAGTTGGTAAAAGAAACAGATACAGGTAATAGCTGAAAGTAGTTGGTGAAAGAAACAGATACAGGTAATCGCTGAAAGTAGTTGGTGAAAGAAACAGATACAGTTAATCGCTGAAAGTAGTTGGTAAAAGAAACAGATACAGGTAATAGCTGAAAGTAGTTGGTGAAAGAAACAGATACAGGTAATCGCTGAAAGTAGTTGGTGAAAGGAACAGATACAGGTAATCGCTGAAAGTAGTTGGTGAAAGAAACAGATACAGTTAATCGCTGAAAGTAGTTGGTGAAAGAAACAGATACAGGTAATCGCTGAAAGTAGTTGGTGAAAGAAACAGATACAGGTAATCGCTGAAAGTAGTTGGTGAAAGAAACAGATACAGGTAATCGCTGAAAGTAGTTGGTGAAAGAAACAGATACAGGTAATAGCTGAAAGTAGTTTGTGAAAGAAACAGATACAGGTAATCGCTGAAAGTAGTTGGTGAAAGAAACAGATAGAGGTAATACCTAAAATGGCACTCACACTACCTGAAAAGCCCCTGTTATGATCACGGGTTTCAAGTAGAAATAGAATAAAGGATACCTTTATAGTTAAGATAGAATAAATGATACCTTTAAAGTAGATATAGAATAAATGATATCTTTATAGTAGATATTGAATAAGGGATATCTTTGTAGCAAAACCTAAGTCTTGTCAAGACTTCCGACTTGATTTGGAAGAGTTGTCTTTGTCAATCCATGTCTATGATTCCATTTTTCTACCATCCATATCCAGACAGCCGCGTGTTCAGGGTGGACTCCATGTTCTACGGTGGACGTCACTATCCTACCATAAGTCAGTTCATCCAAGCCTACAAAAACAACGAATTTCCCAAGACCAAAATGAACCCCCCCAAGCCAGCACCGCAGGAAACGTCCTTTCCTGGCACAATGAATCTCAGAGGTCGAAAGTTTCCTGGAATTCCTCAGCCAGGTCCTAAACAGTTTGAACCAGCTGGAAGACGGTACAGGTAAAAGTCGAAGACAATAGTTTCAACTGGGTCCTGAATTTATTGAATGTTCACACACATAAGGTTCTGGGCCCGTCAAAAAGAACATTTACACACAAACGTAAGTTTATGGATTAACTTTCTGAAATAAGTTTCAAGTGTCCCTGTCCTGGTACCCACTCATCCTCAGTGGCACTGCAGCTTAGGAGGGCCCTGGCCTGCTTCACCACATCCTTGGATCAATCCATGGCTTTCCGCCTTCATGAACGGTCCCAGGTGATCTAAATCCTTCTTCAATCCATTTCAGTCCTGGTCGACGGGTAAGCCGTCTGCCCCTAAGTTTCTACCTGAAAATGATGTTTGCTGCTCAGCAATCCCGTACTTATCAAGGGTTCCTGTTCGGCGCAGCCTGCTTCCTTTCATTGCTGCTACTATGTTGGGTCTTGGTACCATTGACACCTCTTGGTTTGTACGAATTCTTCACCCAACATTTTTCGAACACTGGTTGCATTTTTTAAAGGATTGTCCACTGTCATGCATGGAGCACTTTACCTTTCTTTGGACAGGTACCAAATATCACGTGCACAAATTACAAATGGTCTTAGGCAAGAGGTGTAGATGTCCTTCTTTGTTCTCCTAGGGACATTTTGGATTCGCACTAGCTTTAGTATAACGTTCTTTTCCTTTCTTTCATATTTTTCATTCTTTTAATTTATAATAGCTCCCAGATATTTGGAAGTAGCCACTCTCTCAAAGGTGTGGTAGTTAGGATACAACTTACCAATGTTAGGGTACAGCTTACCAATGTTAGGGTACACCTTACCAACGCTAGGATACAACTTACCAACGCTAGGGTACAACTTACCAATGTTCGGGGTACAACTTACCAATGTTAGGGTACAACTTACCAACGCTAGGGTACAACTTACCAACGCTAGGGTACAACTTACCAATGTTAGGGTACACCTTACCAACGCTAGGATACAACTTACCAACGCTAGGGTACAACTTACCATTTCTTTGATAAAGACCGTTTGCCTTACACGGTATTTTAGTTTACATTGAAAATCAATCCCGACAGCTCCACGGAGACACAAAATGACCATGTCTTATGTCATTATCTGTTGCACAGGGTGAGAAGCCAACACATAGACTATATGGAGTGGAGCTTCAACGTACGCATCTCAACTCTCTCTGGTCCTCAAGTGTGGGACGTGCGCTGGGCAGGGGAACGAATCGCTTATGAAATCAGTCTTCAAGATGTAGGAGTTATCTACGCGGGCGCCAATCCAACCACATTTTATCAGCATCTATCTGACAGCGCCTTTGGCCTGGGAAATCAGGTATGACATGGCGGCTGTCATCACAATTAGAGCTTGGAAAATCTGACAGTTATGACCAAAATGACAGTTTTAAATGACATCCAGTGGATTCATATTAAGATAAAACTTACACATGCCTGGATACATATGGATCAACCTGCTTCAATGTATCCATTCCTTTGACTCTCCCCACAGGCGTATGGCCTGATGTCAGGTGTGGACTGTCCAGAACATGCAACATTCTTACCCCAGACAGTGTATGATGACATCACTGGCCAGCCAAAGACAGTGGATAACGCCTTCTGTGTGTTTGAACACAACACGGGGGTCCCCCTCAGGCGTCACAACTCCAATGACAACATCAACGGCCAGTAAATAGATTTTATGCTTGATTAATTTAGACTTGTCAGATTATGTGGCACTGATAGGTTAATCATTAAGGACCTTTATGTGATACGATACTGATAGGTTAATCATTAAGGTCCTCTACGAGTTACTGATATATTAATCATTATGGACCTTTATGAAGTACTGAAAGGTTAATCATTAGGGACCTTTATGAGATACTGCTATGTTAATTACGAGAGATCTTTAACATGTACTGATAATCATTAGGGACCTTTATGACATACTGACAGCATAATCAGTATGGACCTTTATAAGGTGCTGATAGGTTAATCATTAAGGATCTTTTTGTGTACTGATGGATTACTTATTAGAAGCCTTCATAATGGGTTAAGATAGGTTATTTATGACCTTAAATATGTTATTTTCCAGAAACTACGGTGGATTAGTGGATCGTGTCCTCATCCTACGCACCATCATTGTGGAGTTTAACTATGACTACATTTTTGACTTTGTCTTCCATCAAAATGGCGCAGTTGAAGTCGTTAGCTACGCCACTGGTTACATTATGTCCCAGGCCTATCACGAGGCGGAGGCACCGTTTGGCTTTAGGTGAGGATCACCGCGTGCTGTTGTCAGACGTTTGTTGTCGCCCTTTGTGGACTGCACACCACCACAAAGTGCCACAAAGTGCCACAAAGTGCCACAAAGTGCCACAACGTGCCACAGAGTGCCACAACATGCCACAACGTGCCACAGAGTGCCACAACGTGCCACATTGAATGTTAAGACATTAACTACCTAAACATTATTAAGCGAAACTTCCCTGTAGATATCGGGTGCCCCCTCCCCCAACATTTCTTACATCGGGTGGCCCCAGACACCACCACCATTTCTGTAGAATCTGGGTACGTCCATAAACACATTTTCTTTCTATTGGTCTATTTGTAGCTGTGATGCTATTAGTCTTATAACTTCTAGCAAAAACATTTTTGCATTTTATCAATAGAGGCATTTTATACGCCCGTTGATTTCTGCTATCCAACAATAGAGTCATTGATAAATGTCACATGACACATGTTATGAACCACTGGGTTTATTGATAAACGTCACATGACACATGATATCAACAACTAGGTTCGTTAATAAATGTCACATAACACATGCTATCAACAACTGGGTTCATTGATAAATGTCACATGACACATGATATCAACCACTGGGTTCATTGATAAATGTCACATGACAATGATATCAACCACTGGGTTCATTGATAAATGTCAGATGACAGGATATCAACCACTAGGTTCATTGATAAATGTCACATGACACATGACATCAACCACTGGGTTCATTGATAAATGTCACATGACAATGATATCAACCACTGGGTTCATTGATAAATGTCAGATGACAGGATATCAACCACTAGGTTCATTGATAAATGTCACATGACACATGACATCAGCCACTGGGTTCATTGATAAATGTCACATGACACATGCTATCTACAGAGTTCACGGGAATGTCGTCGGGTCAATCCACCATCACATGATGAACTTCAAAATCGACCTTGACATTCGAGGTCAAACCAATAGATACGAGACGCTGGACTTTGTGCTGGATGAAAAGAAATGGCCTTGGCACCGTGAAGGTCAGGAGGTTTTCCACCAGATGGCGCTACAGCATAGTCTGAAAGAAACTGAACGCC